AGTATTATTAAAGTCTAGCCATTGTTAATTTCACTTTGAAGTATTTGTCTAAGTATGGTACTTTAAATGTAATCCAAGAACATTTATTCTTTTATCCTTTTCTGGCAAAAATGATAAAAACCTAACTGGAACCAGGATGGTCAAAGTGCACTCTGAAACCAAACCACACCTAAGCAAGACCAGTTTTCTTCAGATTGCCTGGTCAATTCACATTCACAGTGGGAAATCTGGATACTGCAAAGATACTTTTGGAAAAAGGAATGGAACATCACATGTAGCCAGTCTCCCACCCGCCTGCAGCCACTGCTGACACTGTGTCTTTCAATTCTTCTTTTTCAATATTTTTGTCTTTGTATTATACAAATGTTTTATTTTATAAAATTGTAATCATATTGTTACAGAACCTTCCAGTGCTGTTCAAGAACACTCAATGGGGTGCTACTGCTTGCCACCTAAAGGCAAAACACTGGAGTCGGAAGTTTTGTGGAAAGGACAGGAGTTGTTTATTTAAAGGTCATACAGTTTTGGAATACTGGCAGGTTTCTGCCTCAGACCCTGCTCCCTTTAATACACCCAAAGACTAGTAACCCTGCCACCCTCTGCCAGGCCTGAACCATTTCAAAATGTGGTACTTAAAAGGACCCCCTTTAGAGTCTGTGTGTGCCAGCCTGAATCCTTCTCACAGTGCCAGTTCTCTCCTCCAGAGCTATGTTTCCTCTGGCAGATGGCTCACTAGTGTGCCTGTGTGCTTGGCCAGGCAGGTCCCAGCCGTGCAGCCGGCACTGCCTCCTCTGCTGCAAGAGGTGCTCTGGAATGTTGTTGTTAGACCATGAGGTCTCTGGGGTCCACTGGCCCAGGAATGCTCAGGCCTCCTGTGGCCAATCATGCTAGCCAAGGCAAGGGAAAGACTTCATGTTTCCCAACATGCTCCATTTTAAAACCTTGGCCCAGAAATCCCTGTGAGCAGGAGTGCCATGTTTTTTCCCAAGGTTCCTCAGTGTCTGCCACTTTTGTCAGCTTCCCAGTGTCTTTGAGCCTCTTCTGTCTGCCATTTTGCAAAAGGAGGCAGAAGTTTTCTATCTGTGCACAGATGCACAGCATCTGTTTGTCTGGGGTGGGGCACCTGCCCCCACAGCCCATGCAGCTGCTGTATGGACTCTACTCCAGCAATGTCACAAGGGGCTCTGCTACCAGGGCAGTGCATGTTCACAAAGCCACTTTGCTTCTGTTTGCAGTCGACCTCCAGCAGCAGCCTCCTTCCACAGCCCTGTGCTTTGTGAAGGCATGAGGTGCTTGGCTGCTGTTTTCAATCTGCCACCCTTGGTGCTTCCTGAAACCCTCTCTCTTATGGGAGGGAGTGCAGCTTTGATGACATCCAGGTTTCTCCCTGATTAGGGTCTCCCTCACCTCCTAGCCATTGGTCTGACCCTCTTGTTACAATATTGCACAACTCTTTAAAAACCTTTAAAACAACCAGTATATATTTTTTAACATGTTATTTATTTTTTTATTTAATTATTTTTCAGCTACAGTATTCTGTCTTCTACTCCCAGCCCAGCCCACCTCCCTCCCATTTCCACCCCCCTTAGTTGTTGTCTATGTGTCCTTTAAACTAGTTCCTGTAAATCCTTCCCCTTTTTCCCCTGAAATTCCTTCCCCTCTCCCCTCTGGTTGCTGTTCCCCTGTTCTCTATTTCAGTGTCTTTGTTTTTATTTTGCTTGCTCGTTTGTCTTGTTGTTTAGGTTCCTGTTAAAGGTGAGATCATACGGTATTTCTCTTTTATCACCTGGATTATTTCACTCAGCATAATGCTTTCCAGTTCCATCCAAGCTGTTGCAAAGGGTAGGAGCTCCTTCTTTCTTTCTGCCGCATAGAATTTCATTGTGTGTATGTACCATACTTTTTTTATACATTCATTTACTAATGGGCACCTAGGTTGCTTCCAGCTCTTGGCTATTTTAAATTGTGCTGCTGTGAACATTGGGGTGCATAGGTTCTTTTGGATTGGTGTTTTAGGATTCTTAGGATAAAATCCCAACAGTGGAATTGCTGGGTCATAAGGCAGGTCGATTTTTAGTTTTCTGAGAAAATTCCATAGTGTTTTCCAGAATGGTTGTACCAGTCTGTAATCTCACCAACAGTGAACTAAGGACCCCTTTTCCCCACAACCTCTCCAACATTTGTTTGTTGGTTTATTTATGATAGCCATCTTGACTGGTGTAAAGTGGTATCTCATTGTGGTTTTAATTTGCATCTCTCTGATGGCTAGTGATATTGAGCATCTTTTCATGTGCCTCTGGATATTCTGTATGTCCTCCTTGGAGAATTGTCTGTTCGAGTCCTTTTCCCATTTTTTAATTGGGTTATTTGTCTTCTTAGAGTAGAGTCATGTAAGTTCTTTGTATATTTTGGAGATTAAACCTTTGTCTGAGGTATCATTGGCAAATATGTTTTCTCATACAGTTGGTTGTCTTTTTATTTTAATACTGTTTTCTTTAGCCATGCAGAAGCTTTTTATTTTGATGAGATCCCATTTGTTTATTCTTTCCTTTATGTCCCTTGCTCTAGGGGACATATCAGTAAAAATGCTGCTGTGTGAAATATCTGAGATTTTCTTGCCAGTGTTCTCCTCTAGGACTTTAATGGTTTCCTGGCTCATATTTAAGTCTTTTATCCACCTTGAATTTATTTTGGTGTATGGTGTAAGTCAGTGCTCAAGTTTCATTTTTTTTGCACATAGCTGTCCAGTTCTCCCAACACCATTTGTTGAAGAGGCTATCTTTACTCCATTTTATGTTACTGCCCCCTTTGTCAAATATTAATTGACTGTAGAGAGTTGGGTCGATTTCCGGGCTCTCTGTTCTGTTCCATTGGTCTATGTGCCTGTTTTTATGCCAGTACCAGGCTGTTTTGATTACAGTGGCCTTGTAATACAGTTTGATATCAGGTATTGTGATCCCTCCTACTTTGTTCTTCTTTCTCAAAAGAGCAGCTGCTATTCGGGGTCGTTTATGGTTCCATATAAATTTCTGAAGTGTTTGTTCTATTACTGTGAAATACGCCATTGGTACTTTAATAGGTATTGCATTGAATCTCTAAATTGCTTTGCATGGTATGGACATTTTGATGATGTTAATTCTTCCGATCCATGAACAAGGTATATGTTTCCATTTCTTTGTGTCTTCCTTGATTTCTTTCTTCAGTGTGGTGTAGTTTTCTGCATACAGGTCTTTTACCTCCTTGGTTAGGTTTACTCTGATATTTTATTTTTCTTTGTGCTGTATTGAATGGGACTTTTTTCTTAATTTCTGCTTCTGCTGATTTATTGTTAGTATATAAAAATGCCTTTGATTCCTGGATATTCACTATGTAACCCGCTGTTTTACCAAATTCATTTATTAGGTCAAGCAGTTTTTGGGTAGAGTCTATAGGATTTTCCATGTACACTATCATGTCATCTGCAAACAATGAAAGTTTTATTTCCTCCTTTCCAATTTGGATGCCTTTTAGTTCCTTTTCTTGTCTGATTGCTGTGGCTAAAACTTCCAAAACTATATTGAATAGCAGTGGTGAAAGTGGACATCCTTGTCTTGTTCCTAATCGTAGTGGAAAAGCTTTTAGTTTTTACCCATTGAGTATGATGTTGGCTGTAGGTCTCTCATATATGGCCTTTATTATATTGAGAATGCTCCCTCTATTCCCAGTTTGCTGAGTGGTTTTTATCATAAATGGGTGCTATACCTTATCAAATGCCTTTTCTGCATCTATTGGTATAATCATGTGTTTTTTGTCTTTGCTTTTGTTTATGTGGTGTATTACATTTACTGATTTGCGAATATTGAACCATCCTTGCATCCCTGGGATGAATCCCACTTGGTCATGGTATATGATCTTTTTAATGTATTGTTGGGAGAGATCATGCAAGATGGCGACAGAGTAGGACAGAGCGGATTCTAGCTCCCGTACTCGTGGGTGAAAATCCTGGCAGATCTATAGAGAAGCAGCGCACTAATCCATTGGTTATCCAGCATTTGTGAAATTAAAAGAACAGAGATTGTGACGGACACTGAAACACCAGAAAGCGGCAGGTGAGTGGGGTCTTGGGGACCAGAGTAAAGACAAAGCGGTGGGGGCTGGCGCCCCCGGCTAGGTGGCCCTGGTGCTGCCTCTATGGCCAGGGACCAGAGCCATTGGTCTGAGACCAACACCAGAGGTGTCTGCCACAGGAGCCTGGGCATGGCACTCAGTGGCCCCAGTGGCCACCAGCTCGGGCCAGCACCTCCCCCGCTCCCCGTATAAGCAAAACTGGACAACACTGGGCAGAGACCTGTCTGCTTGCCGGCTTGCATTATCAGGGAGGGTTACAAATACACAGGGCCCGGTTCAACTGCAGACTATGTGGTCGCAAGCCTGGAAGAACTGAGAGACGCTTTGGCCTCACTGGTCTCACTGGGAACTGGCTGTACTGAGAGGCAGGCTGTCTGGAGAGTTTTGGGCTTTTTTTTTTTTTTAAGTGGACTGAGGTGTTCTCCTGCCAGGACAGCTTGGCTTGCTTCCCACCCGGCCTTGCAACGAGCCAGGGGGAAAGCGGAGGCATTTGGGGTCTCGCCACAGGACCGACCGGGAAGCGCCCTGCCGATCAGGCGGGCTGGGCGCGCAGGTGTGGAGACTTAGGGGTTGGGGCCACAAGACAGGGAAGCGCCCTGCAGGTTTCGCAGGCCCCGACTGCCCTGCGGGCGCATGCGGGCACGGAGACTTAGGTGTCGGCCACCCAATAATTGACTTGGAAGCGGGACGCATTGAACTGAACACAGCTGCAAGATGGACAGCAAATGCAAAATGCATGGATATCCTGTATGTGCAGCTGGGTCACAGAAGAGGTTTGTCAAAGAGCAATGTGGAGAAGGGGGAAACTTTTAAAAAACACTGTTTATTCACTTTTCATTTTGGATGGATTATTCCCTATGCTTAGAATAAAACAGAGAGGAGTATGCTCAGGGCCAGCCTGAGGGGTAGGGTTTGGTTTTTGCCCCCTCCTGGCAGAGAATAAAAAGAGGCACACCTTTATACACAAACACCTTACATCCATAAAAGGAGAGTGATAAATTTTATTTAATTAAAATAGATTAAAAAACAGCCTGTGTAAAAGAATTAGGATTCTCAATAATTTATATTATTTACATTAGCAAATGTTGGTCCTTAGTAGATACGGTGAGGACTTAAAGGAGAGAAGCACACTGAGCCCAGCCCCTCCCTGAGGGCAAAGGGTAATAGGTAGACTGAGTGAGTGGCTTTCTTCTCATTACCATCCTTCCATGTTAATATGGCAATTCCATCACTGCAAGCTGGGTAACCAGCAGGAGAAGTGAACCTCTAAGCCCGGAGTCGCTAAAGCACTGCTACCCTGAAGAGATGCTGGCAGGCCGGGGGGGATTCTTTTCCTATACTGGGTAATTGTAACTCAGGATCAGCTTATAGAAGCACCGGACAGTCAATGATTTCTCCTGTCCCTGTTCCCATTCACAATTCATACCCCCTTTGGCTGACACAAAACTATCACCAGATAAAAGATGAAAAATAAAAATAAAAATCAGACATTCTAGTTCCCAGGAACATGCTGATTACTAAACATACCCTGCCTATGTCATCAAAAACTTGGTGACTCAACCAAAATCTCACATGGGTTGTTCTGTGAGGTTGTAAAGTCCCATATGGTGGGGATTGAGGGGGTCCGGCTGGCCCTGAGCCACCGTACCTAGAAGAAGGCTTCTTTCCAGGAAGCAGTCACAGGAGAGGAGTAACCCAGCAGGACCCTGTGTGTTCTGCCTTTGCACTGTGACATCCTGCAGGCACTTGTGGCTCCTCAAGACACTGTGGGGAGTGAGGCCCAGGAAGGCAGAGACAGGCTGGCAGTGTGCAGTGGAGAGAGACCTGGACACAGCAGCTGGCTTCGTGGACTCCCGAGACCTGACTCCTGTTGTGGGAGACTTGAGGTTGGCCCTAACCCCAGAAAATTCCCACTGATCCACTCTCGGAACACCCGGCCCCACGGAGGCAGGCTGCTGGGGCGTGGCGGCAGCGCCCCGCTTAGTCAACACTGGCACCGCAGAGACCAGGCCTGGAGCCAGAGCAGCGAACAGCAGCAGAACCAGCAGTTGAGGGCTGGAGATGAAGGGACCCCCTGGAGGCTCAGTCCAAAATGTCCGTCTCAAAGGGAACCAGGTGGTAATAGGACAGATTGGTGTCATACGCTGCTGGGTCATCACCATCCTCCACCTCTGAGGTAAACTCACTGCCGTTCTCAAACCTGAAATGGGAAGGACAGAGGTGAGGGCTGAGGCTGGCTTACCCACCCCAACCTCCACCGAAATGAAGAAAGAACAGAGGTCGTTGGAATGAGGGCACTTAGGGATTGACTCAAACAGTACGGAGGGCTTTCCGTGATGCTCTATGACTGGTGGGTGTGGCCTTTTCAATGTTTGCTAAGGAAGTTTGGAAAGAACCATGGTTACTAATGAGGTGAAATGGACCTTAATGTAAAGACTGTCACAGCTTTAGTTCATACTGCCTTAGAGACTGCTGTCTACATTCTTTAGCCAGTAGTTATTAAGCCATTCAACCATTCATTCATTCATTCATTCATTCATTCATTCATAGAGTGATAGTTTTTCTCTGTCTAGGGACTGCTCTGTGTCAAGCCCTGGGGACAGAGCAGTGAACAGGGCAGACAGGGCCTGTCTTTGGAAGTAGGAGCTTGCCATGGGTTGGACCATGTGGACCACAGCAAAACTGAGAAATGCCACTGTGGTCATAGACTCACTACCTAACAATACCCTTGGGTCAGGTCACAGGGGAGGCAGAAGGAACCCAGGGAGGTGCTGGGTGAGGGCAGTGAGGTCAGTGGGGGGGGGGGGTTTCCTGTGTCTGATTAGCTGCCCATCTAACCCAGATGTGGCCCCCCAAACTAGAAAAAAAAGACTCCAAACTTTAAAGAATGAACAACAGAAAAAGAAGGGCATGAAGCACATGCTCCCCAGGAAGGGAGATGAGATGCTCCTTATGCTTTTTCCATCTTCCTCAGCTCAGGATCCAGGGCCCAGTGGACGTGTGCAGGCAGCTCCTTCCACTCGGCTCTCACTGGAAGCAGGAAGAGGCCTTTGGGTGCAGTGCACAGCATGTTGTGTGTCATTTCCTGCTGCCTGACGGCCTCACTACTAGCAGACTCTTATATGAGCTCAACTACACCTGGAGAGACCAGGAGGGCATGAACTGAGCAAATGGCCCTCTGAGGAGTTTCTGACTTGGCTACACTCGCTGGGGCACTTGCATAGGGGTGCAGAGATGTTGGTCTTGCCTTGCATCAAGAGGACACCGTGCAAAATCCTGCTAGCTTCAAACATAGGCCTGGAAAGATGCATGCTTCCTCCAAGTCTAAGCTGATAAAAGTAGGGTACAGAGGTGGCTGCAGGTCTGGGTTTTCCTTTAACTGCACAGTGAGGGGTGTGGAGAGATTCCAGGAAGGACTGGAGCCCATCTGGGTCTCCCCACGTCTTGCCCTGGGAGCACAAGCTACGGAAAAGGAGGTGGAGCTGTGACAGGAAACACCACGCAGCCCATGGAGCAGTGTGTCTCATGGTGAAAAGGCTGTCTCTCCAGCTTAATTATAGGATGGTACATTACTTTCCTCACAACAGCACTGGAATGAAACCAAAAGGGGACGCATCTTGGACGCAGGAAAAGGCTCAAGTCAGGAGAGGGAGAGGGCCACAGTGATGGCCAAGATGCAGCCCTGCCCAGACAGCTTCCTATCCCCTGGCTACACCTCCTGCTCTCAGGTCAGATGGACCTGAGGATCGAGAATGAAAGGGGAAGCTGGGATGCTCAGGAAAATGAGGAACCTTGGTCCTCAGCAGACCTGGCAAATCCCTCTGCTCCTAACCTGTGACAACAAAGTGAGGGTCACCTCAGTGGTAAATTTCCTGGGAGCCTGGCAACCCCTCCAGCCAACCAGATGGTCACCAGGTAGAGAATGACTCACATCCCCATTAGACACACCCACTCATCCTCTGAGTGCAGAGGGTCTCTGGTCCTGGGTGCTAGTACCTGCCCTCTCCAGGGACATGTGGGGAACACTACTTGGCTCCAGGGCACACTCCTAACAAGCAGGTCAGACACCACTGAATTCACAGCCTCAGGGCCAAACAGCCACCCCACCGCCAGGCCCCACCTCACCTACTACTGAGGACAGCAGCAGCAGCCAGGTGGAAAAGCCTCTAGTTACTGAAATGTCATCTCTCCATGTCCTCCTGACCTTGCAGAGTCACCACACATCATCTGCCTGACAGCTCCGTGAAGTGTGAAAACAGACTACTCCCAAGAGAGACACCAGCAGACCATCAGCTTGACTATGTTGCCCTGGGCCAGGCACCTAGAGAAGCACCTGGCAAGCCTGAGGCAGGAAGCCCTTCTAATAGGAGGCAGACATTTCTTCATTAGGCTTTAAGCTTTCCTGGGATCACAAAGGGTTTCCTTTGCCTTCCCTCCCTGCCAGCCAGGTGTCCTGAGCAGGTGGCCACATAGGAAGGCTGAGTCTACCCCAGCCATGCAAAGCTCTGGGCTAGCTGGGAGAATCATGAACCACCCCTGCTTTCTGTGTATTTCTCCTTTATAAAACTTTACAGTTGACCTAACTCTGCCATTTGGCCTCATGCCAGGGGGCAGAAGGACTCCCAAGGCCTCTTGAGATGAAAAAGGTTATCCAAGGAATGCTGTGGAGCCAGAGCAAGGACCCCACGGCAACTAGTGATGACGAAGGCCACCCCCACAATAAGCCCTAGCCAGACACTCCTCCCATGAAGTTAGAGGACCTCTCCTTTCCAACACTTACTTAATACACATCAATCTTGTACCCCATGATGCCAGCCCTGCATTATGACCCACAGGCCATGAATTAATGCACTATCCATATACACACACAGCAGGTGCAATGCCCTGTGTGTGCCATGGCAAGGCATGCAAAGGGACAATGGTATTTCAGAAGAAGACCAAGCCCTTGCCTCATCAGCCAACCCTCTTACGCTAGTGCTTCATGACATCACTGTGAATGGTTCTTGCACCGTCCACCCAAGAGACATCTGAGTAACTAAGAAAGTGGGAGCTGCTGGCTAGAGTGTGTTCCATGGGGCTCAGTCACGGAGCCGGGGGCCTGCAGAGGTGACACATCCTGGGGTCACACTTTGTCCTGCGGTCCACTAGCCCAGATGTGTGTCTCGACATGTGGGCCTGCCCTGGCCCATATTTATTTTCAGTCGAGGGGATGAGCTGGGGTGCCGAGACATCCCTCCACCCATGGGATGTGCTTCTCATGTGCCTCAGGGAGAGTCTGCACACCCAGAGTCACTAAAGCCTGGCATTAGTGGGCTCCTTAGTCAGGCATTTCATACTTACTACTTGAAGTCTTCACAATGAACACTGCGAGACCATAATTCAGTGGTCCAAATTCAAAGATTAACAGAAGCCAGGAGAGGATAAGTGACTTCCTGACATTCACACACCAGAAGAGCCCTGGGCTTGGCCTTGACAGTCAACAGAAGCCGAACTATGATGCGCCCTCAACCCACTGCCCTGTAATTCCCAAGAAGATGGCCGAATCACAACAACGATGAAGGCAGCTGTGCTTTGAGGGGACCCCAGGTGTGGGGCTTCCTAGACCACTAGAGTGGTCAAAGTTCTGTTAGAAGAGAAAGGAAGAATGGAGAAGTGGTGTTTCTGGCTGTCCCGCCTTCACTCATCAGACACATCCTCTCCCCCTTCAGAGCCAGCCTCCTGGGAGTCTAGAGAATTTCTAACCCTGCAATGTGAGGCTATAATGGAGGTGACACTTCTCCCCATCCTAGGAGACCAGGCCTTATGATCAAGGAGGCTTGTGGCCCCTGTACCCCCTTAGGGCCCAGCACGGACCATCCCTGAAGCCTGCCCACTTCTCCTTGACGGCCCATCACAGCTAGCCACCAGGGCAAAGGAAATTTGTTCCCATGAGCTTCATGAACCAAGGTCTCACTGCCCTCTAGAAAAGGCAAACTCTTTAAATAAATGTCTAACTACAGGCAGGATGGCTGCATATTTCTGGCCACACACAGTTATGGCCTACAGAGCTCTGCATGGCAATGAACCCCAGCCGCTGGTTCCGGCTAGCAGCTCCAGGATCCCATCTGCAAAACTACAGTCAAGTCAGAATACTCACAGATGCTCTGCTGGGTCCACACCCAGGTGCTGCTCTTTTCCGTTTGGTATACTGTGGTCAATAACGATAGTTTCCGTATTGGCTAAACAAAACCCATTTGACCTCATGATTTCTGAAAATGAAAACAGTAAAAGAAACATTCAGGAGGGGTAAGGTTTTGAAGTTTTGGAGTCTGGGGCTTACACCAATCTCCAGACCTCTCCCTCCACCCACTGCCCCATCTCCTCCACACTACGAGAAGGTGCATTCTAGAGTCCATTCTGGACTTCTGCCACACGGATTCAGGGGCTGACGCCACGCTTCACAGGAGCCACACTGGCTGAGCTGATCTATGCAAGCTAAGAGGCCCCCTCTCCCCCAGGAAGAGGGTCTGGTTGCCTGAGCTCTCTCCCCACACACCCTTCCCCATGCACTGAAAGCTGGAGAGGAAAGAGCATTGGGCTCACATCTGTCGGTCTGGGTCTGAGCCCAGGCCCGTGGCACGCCGCCACAGGTGCAGGTTTCTAAGCTCTCACCTGTGTCTGAGGAAGAGTAACACCATCACTGACTGCCCTGGGCTGCCCTGACCATTGAAGGAGATAGGCGTGCATTTTAAACCAAATGGGCGACTTCACTTTTTACTCTACCTAATTCTGTATAAAAATTGATTTTTTTCTTACCAACAAGCACAAAAGTGTGATCATTTAAAGAGGCCAACAAAAAAAACATCTTCATGTCTATGCTGGCTATGAATCATGTCCTTTGAGGACATGACTCTGGCTGTCCAGTGCTGGAAGGTGTGGGCATGGGATGTCTGAGGGTGCAGCAGCTGAACGGGCATGGGCGGGGAGCTCGGACCCTGCAGCTCAGCCCAACAACAAGCTCTATGATCTTTTAAAAATATATATTGTATTGATTGTGCCATTACAGTTGTCCCATTTTCCCCCTTCACTGCCCTCCACCCTGCACACCCCCTCCCATCCACACTCCCCCCCTTTAGTTCACGTCCATGTGTCACAAGTTCTTTAGCTTCTACATTTCCCACACTGCTCTTGCCCTCCCCCTGGTCTGTTTTCTACCTACCATCTATGATACTTACTCTCTGTACCTTTTCCCCCTCTCTCCTCCTTCCACTCCCCTGTTGCTAACCCTCCATGTGATCTCCATTTCTGTGGTTCTGTCCTAGTTGTTGGCTTAGTTTGCTTTTATTTTTGTTTTAGGTGTGCTTATTAATGATTGTGAGTTTGCTGTCATTTTACTGTTCATATTTTTTATTTTCTTTTTCTTAGATAAATCCCTTCAACATTTCATATAATAAGGGCTTGGTGATGATGAACTCCTTCAATTTGACCTTATCTGAGAAGCGCTTTATCTGCCCTTCCATTCTAAATGAAAGTTTTGCTGGATAGAGCAATCTTGGATGTAGGTCCTTCTATTTCATGACTTGGAATACTTCTTTCCGGCCCTTCTTGCTTGTAAGGTCTCTTTTGAAAAATTGGCTGACGGTCTGATGGGAACTCCTTTGTAGATAACTGTCCCCTTATCTCTTGCTGCTTCTAGGATTCTCTCCTTCATTTTAATCTTGGCTAATGTAATTATGATGTGCCTTGGTATGTTCCTCCTTGGGTCCAACTTCTTTGGGACTCTCTGAGTTTCCTGGACTTCCTGGAAGTCTATTGCCTTTGCCAGATTGGGGAAGTTCTCCTTTATTATTTGTTCAAATAAGTTTTCCACTTGTTGTTCTTCCTCTTCTCCTTCTGGTACCCCTATAATTTGGATGTTGGAATGTTTAAAGTTGTCCTGGAGGTTTCTAAGCCTCTCCTCATTTTTTATAATTCTTGTTTCTTCATTCTTTTCTGTTTGGTTGTTTCTTTCTTCCTTCTGGTCCACTCCTTTGATTTGAGTCCCTGTTTTCTCTCCATCACTATTGGTTCCCTGTGCATTTTCCTTCATTTCACTTAGTGCAGCCTTCATTTTTAAAATCTAATTTGCAACCAAATTCATCCAATTCTGTGAGCATCCTGATTACCAGCGTTTTGAACTGTGCATCTGATAGGTTGGCTATCTCGTCATCACTTAGTTGTATTTTTCCTGGAGCTTTGATCTGTTCTTCATTTGGGTGATTTTTTTGTTGTTGTTTTGACATGCTGTCATGTAGTGACGGGGGGAGCCTCAGGCATTCACCCAGGCGGGGTAACCCACATTGCTGTGTTGTGGTGCTGTATGTAGGGAAGGGGTCCAAGAGGGGACAATGCTGCTTTCTCTGCTCTCTGCTCGACTTCAGTCACTTCCCCCACTTCTCACAAGCAAATTGGGCCCTTCTGGTGCTGATTCCTACATGGGTGGGTTTTTGTACATTCTAGGCCCCCGTGGGTCTCTCCAGTGAACTCTCTTGTGAGGCTGGGAGTTTCTCCCGCTGCCTCGGCCCCCACAGGTGTTTTCAATCAGTGGTTTGAGGCTTTATTTCCCCAAGCTGAGGCCCTGGGTTGCTCAGTCCATCCTGCTCCCCAGTTGTTTCTCCTGGTTTATCTGCATGTGAACATGAGACCACCCAGTCCACAATCTGCTGCCTTGCCAGGTCTGCCTGCTGCTGCCTTGCCGGCCTTGTGCACCCCACTCCACAATCTGCCACCTGACTGGGTCCAACAGCCGCCGCCTTGCCAGCCTCGGCCCTCCAGCCACCTCCTTGCCACAAGTCCTCTCTGCCTGGATGCCCAACTCCGCCCCTCTTACTGGTCTGGATGAGTGTGTCTTCTTTAACTCCTTGGTTGTCAGACTTTCATACAGTTCGACTTTCTGTCAGTTCTAATTGTTTTTTGTTTTTAAGTTGCTGTTGTCCTTCTTTTGGTTGTGTGAGAAGGCACAGTGTATGCCTCCATCTTGGCCAGAAGTCCCTGAGCTCTATGCCTCCATCTTGGCCAGAAGTCCCTGAGCACTATGATCTTAAATGCCTATTCATTAATAAGATTTGCAAATTCATTGCTAAAATTTCCACTGGGCTTTCTGGAAAAGTGGCAGCTCAGGTTTCAGTGATTTTCTGCAGCGCCAACCCAGTCAGTCCTGCCTTCAGTGACGTCAGCACAGCATGCCCTTCCCAGCCCTGCCTTCTGGGCAGGGGCCCCCCAGGGCTCCAGCGTGCTCAAGAGCAAACACAGAAAGGCTGCAAGTCCTGAGAAGGAGCTCCAAACACCAACAGAAAGTTGGTGTGGGGGACTTCTAGGGTCAATTACGTTTCTAGGTACAAAAAGGTACAAAAAGATGTTTACCAAAGCCTCAGTGATTCTGAAGATGGCTAAACCTTAACAAGAAGGATTCTCTCACCTTTCAATTTTAAATGTATGGGAGCACTAATGTAAACAATAAAACACACACACACTTTCTTTAACTGCTTTAAGTCTGACTCAAATCTATCCATCTCAGGAACTACATAAGAGACTCATGTAAGTACAGCCAGCAGACAGCCCTTGCTCCAGTCTCCCATCCCCTTGCCAAGGGGATTTCTGGGGGAGAACCTCACAACTGAAAATAAATGGCAGTGCTTCAAAACTTCGCTAAACGTTACGAAGAGATGCCTTGTATGGGAACTTTCTAATCTTTCTTAAATGTGAAATTTGAAGCTCTAGAAAATGGAGTTTTTACCAGCCCTCGAGAGCAGGTGTGTAGTCAATATTCCTTAGTTGCCTAAGCTAGTCCTTTGTGCACAGAAATGTGGTTTAATGGTTTGCAAGGCCATCTGGGCCCTTGAGAAAAATCCAGTTCTGCTATTTATTTCTGGGGAGCAGACTTTTCTTGCTCAGTTTCTCCATCTATAAAATGGGAATGAGAGTGTCCATCCCTAAGGGCGCCAGATGCAGATTAAAGAAGATAGGATTTGTAAAGAACCTAGTTAAGTGCAGTGCCCAGGGCTTGATAAATGGTAGTTATTACTGCCATTGTTGCTAATGTCTTCATATCTGTTGTGTCATGCAAATAAAAAGAACCAAAACACCCTGACTGGTGTGGCTCAGTGGACTGAGTGCTGCCCTAGGAACCAGAGGGTTGCTGGTTCAATTCCCAGTCAAGGCACATGCCTTGGTTGTAGGCCCCATGCCCAGTAGGAGGCCCCGTGCCCAGTAGGAGGTGTGTGAGAGGCAACCACACATTGATGTTTCTCTCTTTCTCTTCCTTCCCCTCTCTCTAAAAATAATCCATTTTTAAAAAAGAAGCAAAGCAATGTTATAATTGCAAAAAATGTTATAGTATTTGAATCTATCTTCAAACACACTTAAAATGTAAATTTCTTAAAAATCAGTTTAGTACCTACAGCAAAAAAGGAGAGAATTACTAGCCAATTTACTTTAATCACATATTTGACTAATTCCATGAAATAGCTCGTTTTCAAGCTACATTTCTGCATTCACATTTTTCATATTAAGTAGAGTCCTGCTTTGCTATTTCTTCTTTTTCTTTACATTTTGAGCTAATTTTAGAATTACAAAAACACTGTAAAAATAGTGCAGAGTTCTCACGTATCTCTCACCAAGTCCTAATGTTAACATTTTAGGTAACTATGGCACAATGATCAAATGCAGAAAATTAGCACTGCACAATACTGTTAACTAAACATCTCCCTCACCAGCTTTTTCCACTAATATCCCCCCTTTTTTTGTTCCAGACCCCACCTAGGCCCCCTTGGTGCATTAAGCTGTGGTGCCACAGTGTCCTAGGAATTCTGACAGTTCATCAGTCTATTCTCCTCTCTCACGACTGGGACACTTTTGAAGAGGACTTTCCCTCAACTTGTCAGATATTTTTATGAGCTCAACTCAAGTGGCGCGTCCTGGGCAGGAATCCTGCAGAAGGACAGTGCATTCTCCCGAAGGCATCACATCAGGGGTTATGTGATGTCGGCTGGTCTTACCCCTGGGATGTGGGTCTGCATCGCCTGGGTAAGGAGGTGTCTGCCAGTTTCTGCAAAGTAAGGTTACCATCTTTCTCTTGATAGTTAAGAAATATCTTTTGGAGAGATCCATTGAGACTCTGCAACTCCTATTTCTCCTGGAACTTTTGTCCACTAATCTTAGCCTCTACCAATGAACCTTTTCTGCAACAATTACTGTTTCAGTGTTTGCCTAGTAGTGATTTTTCTTTTTCGACTGCAGCAATGTTTCATATGCTCTAACTGCCATCAGTCCTTCAGCTCATTGATTCATATATTTCTTTTATTCCTAGATTTGGTAAGCACTTAGATTAACATGGGATGAAGAATGTTTAAGACTGTATTACCCCCCCATCCCCACCATTACCCCCCCTTTAGTTTATGACCATGTGTCTCAAGTTCTTTAGATTCTATATTTCCCATGCTATTCTTGCCCCCCCATCTATTTTCTATCTACTGTCTATGCTACTTATTTTCTGAACCTTCTCCCCCCTTCTCCTCCTCCCACTCCCCCTGTTGCTAACCCTCCTTGAGATCTTCATTTCTATGTTTCCACTCCTGATCTAGCTGTCCTTTTAGTTTGCTTTTGTTTTAGGTGTGGTTGTTAATAACTGTGAGTTTGTTGTCCTTTCACTGTTCATGTTTCTTTAACTTCTTTTTCTTAGATAAGTCCCTTTAACATTTCATATAATAAGGGCTTGAACAACTGTAACAGCATAATCAATAAAAAATTTTTTTAAAAAAAGACTGTATTGACCCAAAGCATCACCAAGATAGTCCACAGTATTTCCTGACTGTCCTTGCTGAGGACCCAGGATGAGGATCATTTCTCACACCATGAGCGCCTGGCGTCACCTAGTGGAGTCCCTCGCCACTGCAGTCTGAACCTTAGGGGGCTGTGTATGCAGAAGCTAGATACTCCAAAGTCAGAGTGTGAAGACTAGTCCCTGACAGCCAGGGAGGCCAGTGCCCATCCCCATGCACCTCCTCCCTAAAAGTCCATGTGAAGAGCAAGAGAAAGTATTAAGATGTCTGTGGTGAGTGGAGGAGGAGGGGTTGAGTGAGTGGCAGCGAGCCAGGGCGGTTCCACAAATGAAGGCAATTTCACAGCATAGAGGTGGCGGTGGAGGAGAAGCCACAACACAAGCAAAGCCCAGCCCGGAAGAGGCTGAGGGTCTGCAGTGCAGGATTCTATGGTGACAAAATCAAAAAGGTAGAGTCAGCCAGACTCTGGCATGTCTAGAATGACTAGGGGACTTGAGCTTTATTTGCGAGAGTTTTGGGAAAATTAATGAGCCCAGGAATCAAGAGTTCTGTGATGACCGACCGCATCAGGACCTATCTGGGTCTATACTAGTGAAAGGGTGAGGCTCACAGAGACATGTGGATGTTCTCAGGGGGTGCCAGGTCTTAGGCTCAGGGCCTGGGGATCCCCAAATCCAGCAACACCTGAAACGTGGGACCGAGGCCAAAGGGCACAGGTTGCCCGTGTACATACTAGTTCTTCAAAGGGACGTCAGTGTTACTGCAAATACCAGTTTCGTTGAAAAGTGTTTGAATTTACCACAGTTCATTGTCTCAGCCTACTGATTTCTTCATGCAGTGAGTAATGAGAGTGCATCTTACATCCGCGGGAGCAGCCCCTCACACCTACACGCCTACATGCTAACTTGCTCAGAAAGAGGGCTGCCTTGTCCAGGAGCAAAGAAGTAAGGGCTGGGTATCTTCAAAGGGGGATCCCAGACTTGGTGCCCAATCGACTAGGACAGAGTAAGAGGAGGAAACCCCTTGCAGGCAGAGCCTCTTAGCTCCAGAACCTTCGAGAGGGACACCCCCAGCCTGCCACCTCCTGCAGAGATTCCTTGGAGAGGCCCCCCAGCTTGAGGCTTTTGGGGACATTTAAAACTCCATTGTTAGGCAGCTCCATCTGTTACAAAGTGTTCTGTGCAGAGCCCAAACACAGTGGTTACTTCTGCCCACTGCTATGTCCCCCTGGCAAAGCATGCTGCCCCGGATGACCGGGGTTCCTGGATGGCACACGGAGGTCACCACCCCTGCCTTCCTGGACCTGGACACTGCGTCCCTAGTCATGTATGCAAGGGCTCACTGAGGCTCATGTATGGTACAAGCAAAAACTGCTGTCTTCGGTCCTCACACAAAGACATGATAGCTCAGCACGGAACTCCACAGCTATCCCTGTTAAACTTCTCAGCACTCTCAGGTCTGTCGGGTAAACGCAGCTGCGCGTTTATCCACTTCACCAATGAGTCAGGACGCTAAGAGGACCGGGAATGCTCCAGGAGTTGCACTCCAGGAGTCACCCAAGCAGACGCACTCCGCACAGATCCAGCCTGCCCTCCTCACACTCTGGGGGCCAACCTGAAGCCACAGACTGGCTCCTGCCACCCACGCAGGCCCTGAAAAAAATGTGCTGCCCTATGCTCTCCTGTTTGCTCAGAAATAAGGAAAGCAAAACAGATATACCAGTGCCAGGACTCTCCCACTGAGTACTGAAGGACAGAAGCTTGCCCCCACTCCCGGTGACAGCATGCAAAACCCCAAACAGCTGACAAACAGCTGGAGCCCTGTCTGAGACCACAAGACTAGAGTCCACAGACACCCACTAGGATAAACAACAGCCACTATAAAGAAGGGTCTGGACACTAATGGTGCCAGCCAAGGAGGGCTGAGCCTCCCTGCTCTTCTAAGAAAACACAGGAAGCTACCGTAGGTAGATACCAAACGTAGCAGAGACACAGAGCCAGGTTTAAAACCCATCCTGCTCACACACAGTCATATCTAGAAACACCTTTCCCAGTCTGGGTTCCCAGAATTGCCTAACCTGTCCACCTCACCCAGCACACAAGTAGGACTCTCATTCCTGCTGTGGCATCGAACTCAAAAGGCCACTCTTCTACAATGACATCATCCCAACTTGTCCTCCTCTTCCTCCCCATCACCACGACCACCAATTTCTACTTAGGATCCAGCTCTGGGCTCTTCTCCACTCTCGTCTACTGACTCTTCCTCAATCAACTTCATTCCGAGTCCTGCCCCTCCACTCCTGCTCTTCTCTCCTTCCTCCTCCATTTGCTGACGGAATGCAGGCTGCAGAATCCCTCCTCTCTCCCTCCTACAGCTCAAGACATCCCATTGGCTCTCATGTTTAGCTGAGCTGCACTTCCTCCTACAACCGACTGCCTTCCCTCCCTCTCTACCTGGCAAACTCCTCCAAGACAGCACTCAAAGGCTACCTCTTCATCCAAAACAAGCTGACTGTCTACTGCCTGGGAAGCCCAGTACCTGAGACCCCCCAGGACAGAGCTCTTTTCTCTACAGAATGCTCCTCAGCAGCCTTCACCAAAACAGTAATAGCTGCAAAAAATAATAGTTTTCTAGTGACCTGTGCAACCCAGACCGTAGAAAACTACCAAAAGGGTGAAGTTGACGCTTCCCCTTCCTTTCTACCTGACCTCGCATGTGAGCTGGCCAGCCGTGACAAGTTGCTCTTACTGCTGCTAACCTTGCCTCTTTAGTTAATTTTTTAGTTAATTTATCAATGCTAATGATACCTAAACTGTGTGTGTCCCCTGTGGCCATGGCCGCCCTACAACTAAGAACAAATTCAATGCTACATTATGTGAACCATCTTACTTCAGCAGGCTGGATGACTGATTCCAGAAGTTTGCTTCAAAAATGCCTTGGTAATGTTTTCATCATTACACTATTTCTTAAGTAAGTTCCAGTTTATACACCAAACACCTCCCTTAGGAAGTAGGAAGAGTGTGAATTCCAGGTCAGGAAGCCCACTCTTTCCTAAAGGTCTGGTAACAGCGGCTCACCGCGGCTGTCAGCATCCCGCCAGGCGGCCTTTCCGGAGCCCGGGTGTGGAAGGCTTGCCCCGCGGCGCAGGCCACGCCCTGAAAACGCTCCCAGACCCACAGCAGCACTTCCCCAAGGCCTTCCCTGTAGCTCTTACCTGATATTTTCACCGGACTTTGAAAGCTGGGTTGAATTTTATGTACATTGTCATTTTTTAACACCTGATCCAGAGGAGATCTTTCAAAGAAGGTGAGCACAACTTCTGACCTAGAATACTGGGCAGAAATAGGTTAATTACTAAAAATTAATCCTTTGTGAGGCAGCCCAGCCTGATGCTAATGCCTCTGAGTTGTTCGGATAGCCCACAGGACTGACCACACGGAGGAGGCGGCAGTCACTGGACTTTTCACGTCCTTGTAGCTCCCCGTGGTGGGCCCCAGGGCCAGGGAGGCCATGGAAACTATGGCTGGTTTCCTCAGCTCTCCACACAGGCCCCAGTCGCACCATATCTCCCTTCGCTTTGTAAAAAACGATGAGCATGAGTGTGGACTCTCCCCAGAGGAGACAAAAGCTTACAAGAGTTAGGTGGTCTGCCTGACTCCAGTCCAGGTGCCCGACTCCAGTCCAGGTTCTTCATCACTGCCTCATGCAAAGCCTGCAAACTTCACTTAAAGGTTACCTGCCACTGATGATGCTAACACCCCCGTGGGCTCCCACGCTCCCTCTTCCCAAATACACCCAGCCAAAACCTGTGGGCTTCTGCACAGAGGCAAGAAAGCAAAGCCACCGTAGTGGAGGGGCCACACCCCCTCCTACTCAACACCTCCTTGGCCCGTCTTCCACTTTCCCAGGGAGAAAAAAAATAAAGCCACTGGAGCTTACAGGAGTCTCTCTTTCCCCTGGTTATATCCACCCATCTCCCTACAGCCAGATACTTCAGGAAGGGGCAAGCAGCCAAGAGAGCAAGCAGGCCAGTTATTTGAAAGCTGGCCGGATGTGCCGACCTCCCGCCCAGCCCAGACCTGCCGCACTTACTTTGCACGGCATGCTTATGATGGCCTTCAGCAACTTCTCCACCTCGTTGAGCCTGGTCTCTATATCGTGGGCATCCTTTATGGCAACCAACCCTATAATTGAGACAAACACGCCTAAAATCAGAAAAACGGACCAGGAAATGTGCTCCTAAATTAAATACAGACATCAGGCATCCCTTGATGAAGATGCTAGCCCAGTATTACCGTGCGTGGAAGGCCTCTGGGTGTGTCTGCTCAGCCTCATTCATGTATATGCAGCCCACCCTGAAAGCCCTGTTCTAAACCTCAGGCTAAGTTTCAGAGACCAGTGAATGATGAGTGTATGTGGGCGACACCGCCCGCCCAAGAGGAGGAGTCTGGCAGGCCGGGGACGGCGACGAAGTGGGGCAGGCAGGAATGAGCCGCGGACCAACCATCCAGGACCCCTCCGAGTGGGTCAGCCTGGGCCAGCTCCATGAATAGCCTGGACTGTGCCAGAGCTCAGCCTGGGACCACTCAGCGGCCACCAGCGTGGTGGCTACAGCCAGAGGAGCTTGCCCAGGACACACCCACTTCCAAGGACGCAGTGGAAGAAGGGACTCGCTCTGCTGGCCACAGGCCCATCTAATTGGAGGCCATATTTAGACATTTAAATGCTGGGTTTGGAAGGAAAAAAATCAGGTTTCTACCCAGAGAAAACCAGTGGGGCATGACTCACAGCACTTTCCAGGAATCGGAGCCTTTACCCTTGTTACAGTTACCCGAAGTCCTGCGTGGCTGTCAGAAAGTGTGGCATACTGCTCCTGAGATGCTGTGGCCGCAGCACAGAGTTGAGGAACTTCCCGTGAGCAGTGAGGAACACAAACCTTCCCATCACTGGCTCTGTACATCGACTTCCTTTCCTAAGGAAACCTGCCTCTTTCACGTACTTCCTTGGACCTAGGAAGACAGCCCGTGTGAGCCCGGACCAAGCCACACAGGCCGAAATCTCAGAACTACTATTACTTACTGAATCGGAGCTCTTTAGAAGAAGTTCTGATTCATTTTTTTAAATAGGAGAACGGGTTGTTTGCTTTTTAGGCAACTCATTGACTGAGTCTACATAAGTGATAAAATTAACTTCCTAAACCACATATTGAAATTAAGAGGCCCACGGTATACGGTCCCTGGAAACCAGGAGCAACCCCAGACAGAGGGGGAGGGCATTTCTGATAGCCCGGGCTACGCGAGGGGATCCTTCACAAGGCCAGCTCAAATCAAGGCCAGAAATCATTCTCTCGACTTCCTAAAGCCAGGCCATCCTGGGTTCGGGCGCCCCTGCTTGACCCGCCGACTCTCTTCAGCCACAGGGGCCTAGGGGACCAGCTGGCAGATGTCCAGGGAGCAGGGGTCCCAGGGGTGGGAGGGTGGGTCACGGCTCGAGCACTGGGAAACCCCAGGCCTCATCCAAACAGCCGTGCACACACCCCAGCACAATGCCCTGCTATCGCCAGAGAAAAGGACTGGGCCACCTTGTGCCCTTCCTCCCCAGGTTGCCTGACTCCACCATACCACCCTGCATGCTGAGGGAGACAGGGAGGAGAAGGAAAAAAAATGCCAGATTCTCGGGATGCTTGTTCTCCAGGCCCTGAATTCCTCAGAACAGAATTTCAAATACACACACACATGCACGCACGCTTTGCACCAAAGTCCCTCATGAGAACCTGAGGGTAGGTAGGAGATGCCTTTGGTTCATCTCACTTCTATCAGCAATCAGCACAGAGCTGGACACATGCAGGGGATTCAGTGTTTGCTGGCTGTTTTCTGACTGAATAAAGTTGCCTAAGATAACACAGAAGTCAAGTATTAGTTATCCCCCAAGTGTGTGCTCCATCCTGCTTGCAAGGTAGTAATGTGGCTCACACTTATCCACTTCACATTCAGCCGGACTCCAGCCAGAACCAACCAGCCAGCAGGTTCCAGGTCACTGGTCTCACAAGACAGCAGCCCAATGAGGGCAAGATGGCACTCAGTGAACACAGTCACTGGCCTCGCTGGTTTGATCTTATTTGTGGAAGCACGCAGAACCACACTGCTTCCTTTCACCTGCCCTTAGGTTTCCGAAGGAAGCCAAATGGTCCTCCTTGGGAACAGAAACATGCTTCAAAACAAAGGAAGCCGAGGAAGTATAAATGGGGAGAGGAAGACACTGGAATCCCTCTCTGCAAGAACACAAATGACAGTTGGTTATTTTTTTAAATTCTGGGCTTTTGGTTGGAGCACTGATTTTTATCCTTTACTCTCCCATCCTGGCTTCCCGAGTGACAGTCAAGCTAGAGATATAGATGGGTTTTCTGAAGGTGCTGCCCCCTTTCTCCAAGGAGTCCCGCCCACGTGACTGACAGGGGCACTGGACTCTCCCCTGGGGGGGCCTCAGCTGATTGAAGACGATTCATGAAGTGATGGATTCAACTGAAGTCACTGGAACCCACCTAACAGCAGCAGGCCAGGGGCGAGGGACGCTACACCTGCATCAGCACCACAGCCAGGACAGCGTCACTGCGAGGCAGAGACCGCAGGGCTGCCCACAGAGGCTGCCTGGCCCAGCACAGCCTCCAACCCAGACAGGGGCCATGAAGGACTCCCCAATTCTCTAGCAGCTTCGAACAGCCTCACCCTCTTAAAGCTCCAACATGCTGGCCAGGTGGCCCAACTGGTTAGAGCATCGTCAGGTGAACCAAAAGACTGCGGGTTAGATCCCAGGTCAGGGCACAAGCAAGAGGCAATCAATGGACGTTTCTCTCCCTCTCCCTGCCCCCACACCTTCCCCTCTCTCTAGAATCAATAAGTATGTCCTATGGCGAGGATTAAGAAAGAAAACGAAACATCTCCAACATCCACTCTCCCTCCCTTCCTGGGCCCTGAAAATCACCCAACTCTGATTGTTTTAAGTGTTTCCCATCGGATGGTGGGTATGTTAAATGTGTGAGGAAATATTTTTTTAAACATAAACAAACCCCAAACTGCTCTCTGGGACCACAGTTTAGGAATAAAATATATCTTCATTTTTAAATTTCTAATTGTTCCCTACTCACTGGGGTTCCTTCCTTCAGGTCCCTCAACACCGCAGCTGGGGAAACCATGGAGACCTGCTGGTGACACCCAAAGGCCCCGACAAATCCCAAAATGCCAGAGCACTGAGCGGTGCGGGTGCGAGCGAACCCACAGGTGGGCTGCTGCATCGTTTTTCAGGGACAGATAACAGAAACGGGGTGCCTGTGGTACTGCTGCCCCAGACAAACTCACTATAGGGATCGGAGTGGGTTGCTTTCTGGCTGATCTCAGTCCTCTGTGGCCCGGGAGCTTTGATTTTTTAGCAGCTGACACAGCTTTTTCAAATACCAATTGTTTACAATAAAAGTTTTAAACCTTCTTTTAAAACAACGTGCTTAAGCCCTGGCTGGTGTGGCTCAGTGGATTGAGTCCCAGCCTGTGAACCAACGGCTCACTGGTTCAATTCCCAGTCAGGGCACATACCTGAGTTGCGGGCCTGGTCCCCCAATGTGGGACGTGCAAGAGGCAACCACACATTGATGTTTCTCTCCTTTCTCCCTCCCAGCCCATCTGTCTAAAAGTAAATAAATGTTTCTTTAAAATGTACTTAAATACAATAATTTAGGGTTATCTAAAATTTGGGGGTTTGCACTCCAAATATTAGGGATAAAATGAGAATTTCATGGGAATCTTGCCTGGCTCAGTTTTACTAACTGAGATCACCATAATAAATACTGCAGGCAGCAAAATTGTCGTGAATTTGCAGTTGAACAGAAAAACTCGAACACCACTTGGTTGGGAGGCTGCCACTGCAGAACTGGCCAGCAGGGGGGGATAGCACTCTGTGAAAGCCGTGAGGTTTAATCCAGTGAGGAGGGTAGGAAGGGACATCCACTACCAGCCACATTAAAATTCTTCTATTAGGAAGTTGACTCAGTAGATTTCACAGCCCCCAGATATTTTTCTGATTTCTGATAAAAACATAATCATTAATATAACCTCAATGTTTAGGATTTCACTCTACACAATTCGTGATATGAAAATCTTATCCAGATTTAGCCCCAATTAAAATTTTGAAACCAAAAGACTGATAACACAATTATACATCAATTTCAGTGTGCCTGTTTTACATTCATTTGAGGACTAAAATCAGCCCAGAGCACCCAGGGTAGGGGTGCCTTTCTCCTCTAAACTAGTGTAGCCTTGGAAATGGAGAACACAGATGTGTTTCTATCAGTTTTGCAATTAGCTACTGTGTGCAAACACAAACACCTGATTTATTCTGGGAACTGGAACTGGACGTGCTGACTTCAGCACAAAAACCTACCAGTGACAGCAAACATAAATAAATCAGATTCCTAGTCTTAGAAACCTGGTCCAAAGTCCCGTTGTTTTCAGGAAGTGGAGGCGCTGAGCAGAACACCTCAGGGAACTGTCCCCAGGCTTCCTCCGAGCACAGACTTGGGAGACCCGACCTAACCTGAGTGCCTCAGCTGCTATAATTCTGGGAAAAGAGACAGGAGGCTTCTTGGCTTCGGTGGAGAGGAAGACGGTCCTTTCCAAGTCAAATGAAGAAGTGTCCGTTACCCGGAAGTCTCAAGAGGAGACCCTCACGACAGAGCCCTGGGAAAATTTTCCGTAAACTGAACTTTCAAGTCAAGTCAAATAATAAATTACATTTACAGGTTTTCTTTTCCATTTCACATATGTGTCCACCGACACGCACTGCATGGAGAAGCAGATCGCGTGGAGGAGACAAGGGACAGGGGGTCTCCTTGAGTGCTTACGGGATGCACTCATATATTCTTTACAGGCTGAGCACAACACAAATGCTAGGGGAAAATACTTCAGATTTTCTAGGAAAAGTTTCTGGGCTTACTTCCTAAGTGTACCTGCTCTTTAAATAGGTAACATTCAAGAAACGGAGACTAAGAAATGACGAGCTTGAGGACATTAAGAGCGGCTGGCCAGTGCCTCGCACACTTAAGCATCCCTGGAACCTGCGGCCACTGCCCTCGATCTCTACCCCTCCCACTCCCACCTGCTACACACAGGTGGTGCCCAGCTGGTTCACCCTCCCC